CCATGAAAGGCGGTGGGATGAGGTTGCGGAGCTCCTCTCCTCTCCCCACTCAACTCGCTGAGTCGAGATCGTCTGGCCATAGGGTTCATTGATTAGAGCATAGCTTCAAAAGTGGATTGAGCCGCTGCTTCCCTATATCCCAATACTTCAACTTGCAGCCCACTCAAGACAACTTACAAGGTGTTCAATACCACCATATCCTCCAAACCAATCACTCAAGTTACACCATCAACATTCCCCATTACTGGGCACGCATCCATTCAAAATGCCCGCACACCTTAACCATGAGGAGGTCTGTCCAGCCCGAACCCCCAATCCCCCAATCTCTCTCTCAGAACCTAAACCCCTCCCCCCCCATCCCTTTACATTCTATACATCTAAATTAACCCAAAAAATAGTTCTTCACCTCTCTAACCACCCTCCTAACGACCACTTCCCAAAAAGCCCGCGGCTCCGTCTACCTCACCCAAAAGCCTTGGATCAACGCCGATAACTCCCAGGACCAGCAACAACAACAGCAGCCAGCAATCCTCATCCGCGCGACAGACGGCAACACCGGCGCCCCGAACCCGAAGAAAGCGAAGACCGACAAGAAGACAGCGGCGGCCGGCGCCAAGAAAGTCAAGCTGTCGACGGTGGTGAGCCCGGAGGAGCTGGAGGCGTTCTACGCCCGGTATGCGGAGGTGTGTAAGGCGGGGATGACGGGGTTGAAGAAGCGGGATCGCAGTAAGAAGAAGACTGCCAAGGGGAAGGCTGGGGGAAAGGTGCAGAAGGCTTGATTTCTAGTTGTTAGGTATGAAGTCGAGGTCCTATTGAGGTAGGATTATGGACTGTGGCTTTGGGGTTGGTTGGGTGCGAATGGGAAGGTTTGAGGGGTTGGAGGATATGATGAATGATCTGTGGTTGCTTATTCATTGTATGGTTGATTTGATTGCATTTATCGGCGTTTCATGGGTCTATCTCTTTTGTTGTTCTTTCATTTATCAACTGCTATTCATGCAACTGGGTATGGAGTAACCGAGTTCTCGAGCCATCAGTTGTAGAGTATTTGAACATGCTCTATGGGTTTCTCAAGGACGAAGCATGGCAGCATGGTCCCCATGCTAGAAGATACCGATGGATATCAAGAAGGGCCATCCAAATCTCTACATGCACCAAAGAAGAACCCAGAGTTGCACATCTCCTCGGCAATCAAACCGTTGTTCTCCCCTGGTCACGGATCCGTCCCTCATCACACTCTAGGACAACTTGTCTCTCTTCCCTGTGAAGCCAATCATCATCCTCCATTATCAAGCAAAAGACAACCTCCCAAGAGCCGCAGTATAAGGTACCCAGGAATCCAGCCCGTGACACATTTCAACCCAATAGAGACCGAGAAAATAAGTAAGGTTGGAAGGAAATACGCGCTGAATGCGCCGTCCTCTACACAACCACCCACCCACCGACTCCTTATCAATGCCGCAGTCCCCACCGGATAGTCAACCACCACCACCCAGGAGCCAACCCTCCAACGAGATAACCAGAAGTCCCCGCCGTGTCGAACATCAATGTCCAATCTCTCACCACTTCTCCAATTCGAAAGCCCGACAAATAGCCAAACCCACAAGCCATCGTCAAGCTTAAGACCCCCACCCCCCAGTGTAAATGCCATAGTGTTTCCCCCGCAAACCCCAAAACCCTCTACCCCAGACAAACCACATAGAGAAACCGCGTGATGATCGAGACGATAACCCCCCCGGTTTGTTATCGTTCCGCCAAACGACAAACGACCCCGTGATTTGATTATTTGGAGACCGGCAGGCGAGGGAAGGCGGGCAAGCCCGGGGCCGGTAAGCGGTAGTAGCCGTTCTCGCGTTGGCGGATGGGCGGGACGGTGAAGAGGATCAGGCTGGCCAGGAAGAGGACCCGTTTTTGCTGGAACTTCAGGGGCACTTTCCACCAGGCGTGGAGGGCCGTGAGCCAGACCCGGCTTTGTTGGCGGAGGCGCATGGGGACTTTCCGCCACATGGTTGTTGTGGTGGTGTGGCGTGCATAGAGGGGGAGAAGGGGAAATCGGGGGATGGAGTTGGGGGTGGGGTGAGAAGGAGGAAATGAGAAAGGAGGAGGTGAAGATGGACGTAGTAGCGAGTAACTACTACGCGCTGCAATTCGAGGAGGGGAGGTGGTTTGGTGGTAATAACTAACTTAGCATTTAAGTATGGGGAACGGGGGACCTTAGGTTGTTGCCGTGGGCGGGCGCTTACCTACTAGTATTGTTGATTCCACCTCCCGGCCCTCCCCCTCACGCTAATGTGACCTATCAACCTTCTTTGTCCCCAATCTAGATCATGCCATTCGTTCAGGTCTCAACCCCGAAGGTCCGTGTTGCGTCTCTAAGGTAGTACCCTACTTATTAAATCACAATGGGCAGAAAGTTGATTGGCAGGTTGATGATTTCAGATGTCTAGAAAAGAAATGTCTCACAAATTAAGTATAATTGATGGTACACGCTAGAATACAATAAAGACATTAGGGTACATTTCCAATGCAGATTGGCCCACCCACAAATCAAATGTGTCCCGGACCATGCATGGGACTGGATAACGGAAATTCATGTAGACAGATCATCACAGAATGAAGGCGTGTGTGGGAATAAAACAAGAATATCATGACTGACGGATGTGAGTGAAGGAAAGGGGCCAAAGAGTGGTATGTTGAACTGGGAAAGAATAGTATGGTGAGCCAGCGAAGCTGTTATTTCCGCCCACATGTCATGAGTCTTTGTCAGTAGACTCCTCGGACCTTCTAAAGCAATCAGGAAGAGGAAGGTCGAAATCATCCACAATATCCTGACCTTCAGCTAATTGGTCCTCGATGTTGCGCTTGAGCTCCCCCATAGTCGAGTTCAGAGCAGGCCCGATAACAATCCGGGCAGCAATATGGATGAGCACGACCAGGAGCTGAATGGGAGGGACCAAGACGAGTGAGGCGGTCTTGTGAATCAAAGAAGCTGCATCGTGCTTCTCAGGTTTGGCAAGCGTCAAAGTAGATGGTGGTGGCATGGGAGAGACCTCCCGCTGGCGGGATGCCTTGGAGCGACGGCGAAATTCTGCGCTCATGCTGGAAAGATTAGAATTAGAGTCGGTGCTTGAAGCAAGCCCGGTAGGTTCTGGGGCGGGCGAAGGAGAGTTAGGGGCGATGGTAACTGGTTGGGGCTCCTGCTCGGAAAGGTCTCTTGCTAGATCGTCTGCCGGCGACATATGATCCCAGCAGTCGACGTATACAGAGACCCTATTGTCAGAACGCTTCGACTTGGGAAGATGTGAGTCTTCCGAAGACGAGTGAACATCACCACTTTCATTGTCATAGTGGTCGTCACTCTCGCTTGACGCAGGAGTAGAGCAGGTGTCCAAATCCGGGATAGCTGTAAAAGAAGGGCCAAGTGAGTGAAATGATTCCACACTAGAGGAAAATGATAGTTCAGGATCAACCTGATCTTCAGCAATATCTTCGAACCTTGCCAGCAAGGTCTGAAAGTTCTGCTGTGTTTCGGCCACGGACTGGCCCGAACGCTGAGTTGGCCCTGCGATCTGAATGGGCTCAGACGACTCATTGTCGTCTGCGATGGTCTCTAAAACGGTGCTGTTGCTGCCTCTGGTCGTAAAGCCACTATCGTCCGTCGCATCTCCGTCCGTGTCTTCGCCAGCGCTAGGCGAGTCAGTCGCCAAGTCATCCTTTGGTTGAAGTCGGTCGTGCTTGTATATGGAAGAGACGGGGGCGCTTTCTCTGCGCCCTTTGGGACGCCATGCCCTCTTCCTTCTAGGCGCCTTGGCTTCCTCGGGGATTTCGACGGTGAAGCCCCTCTTGAAGGGACAGGGCGTAACTTCATATCGGAGAATCTTCGGCAACACATTCTTCATTTCCGCGACCAACGTTCTATCGTCCTCCACTTCGTTGGGCAGTTCGATGCGATAATAGGTGAGAGGTCGGATGCGCAGGACGAAAGTCGACTCGCCATCAACGCACCAACATTGTGAGTTCTTGAGGATGGCGTGGACGACATTGCCGCATTTCAAGAAGACAGTCAAGCCGTGAACATTTTCTAGACGAAGCGGCGCGAGCGCGACCGTGCGTTCGGTAGGCGATCTCCAAGGAAGTGTCTCGACGGTATCAACCGGGTAATCAAAGTCCGCGGGCGCGGTGCTCGAGGGGATAGGCGCGAGGGCTCTAGGGGCAAAATGGACGACTTTGGCGGAGGGATGGTAGAAGAGATCGTTCTCGGACGGTTTCACATATTCTGAGTGACGACGTGTACGCGGGTTTAATTTGGTGGGGAGAGTAGCAGACCGACGGATGGACAAGGTCTGAGGGAGCGGCGCATCGGAGGAATTAGACATCCTCAATCATGGGGATCTGGGATGATGGGAATATAAGGAAAAAAAGAAAGGGACCGAAACAGAAGATTACATTGAATAAAAGTGTAGGGTGATAGAAAAGTGCAGGCGATGTGAAATATGGAAGTGTCAAAAATGGAAAAGGAGAGACGATCAGCAGGGATATTGAGGAGGGGGGGGAATAGGAAAGAATGATGGTGGTGGTGGTGAGATAATCGAGCCCGAATGACCCCGGAAGATGGATGGATGAACTCAAACTGGAATAATCATGGCAAAAACCAATCTGGACTAGTCGCGGATCTCCCCTGCGCTCTGCACGCTGCAAGCTTGTTGGGGCTGGTGTGGAGTATGATGTACATAGCCTCAGGCAGTAAGGCACCCAACACAATCACGTGAAATGTGGCGTCGTGGGGCTGGGCGGGTAGTCCGGCTGCTGGCTCCGGCGCTTAGCGGATGTTGCACCAATCCACAATCACAGCCATACTTGGACATTTCCGTTATGTGGTTGCCTGTGGCTGTTCCCCCTCGAGCCAACGCACCACTATAAATAGCTCTACATGTCCAATTCTTTCTCTTTCACTATCCCTGAGCTCAAATCTGCTTTCTTCCTGGGTATAGTCGAGCATCATGCCGAACTTCGAGCCGAACGCCGTTATTCGCGGCTGTCAGCTCACCATTGTTGGAAGTGAGTGAGATTCTTCCCCTCTATTACCTCTCCACCCGCCGCGTGGAGCTTGCTTGTGGCTCCATGGAATCCACCATGTGAAGCAGAAAAGGGGTCTTTGAGATGGCTTCTCTTGCTTTGTCATGCCTGGCTTTCTCGATTCTTGATCGTCAGACCTGCTGTCGCGCAGAATGATCGATGGGCGGCATTGAGCAAAACACCTACGTCATCGGAGCATGAGAGTTGGATCGCTGACCATCGCTTCATAGCTGTCCGCGCGCTGGGGAATCCCGACTTATTTAAATACAACCACTTTCGACAGGCTGTCTTTGCAGTCGCTGTTGGAATTGCTATCCAACTTATCATTCAAATTCCGGTATGAGCGGTGCCAATTACCAGCCTCGAGATATCTGGCCCCCAAGCTAACATATCACGTCTAGATCATTGGGGTCAAATTCGTTCTCTGGATCCTCTCATGGGTTCTTGATCTAGAAAATGCCACCTGGGATGACTCTCTCGTCGAGGGTCTCGACTTCATCTCCAACTCGGTGCTCCAGGTGCCCTTCTTGCTCATGACACTAATGCGTTATATCACACCCACCCTGGACGAGATGTAAGTCAAATATTATGATTGATATTCAGTCGGATTGGGTTTGTTGACTAGTTAGTTTCATGGAATCCCTCAAATGGGTTGACGCGACCTACGTGCACAAGCACAAGCATGAAGACCCCAAGAACCTGCGCGAGATGTATTACCCCAACCTTTCCATGTACACCACCGCAGACGGCAAGGTCAGAACTCCCAAGGGCGCCGGCCTTGCAGCATTCTTCATGTTCCTCAGACGGTACGGCAAGCGGGCTGGATTGCTCCTCGGCACTTACCTCTTCTCTTTGGTCCCCGTCATCGGTCCTTTCGTGATGCCGGCTGCTTCGTTCTTCGCCTTCCAAAGCGCCGTGGGAACGACCCCTGCGGCTGTCATTTTCGGGGCCGGCTTTATCCTCCCCAAGAGCTACGTGGTCTCGTTCTTGCACAGTTACTATGCCTCCCGCAGCCTTATGCGTGAACTTGTAGGTTATTTTCTTGCCTCCCTCTCGTGCTCATTTGTCTAACAGCAGGAACAGTTGGAGCCCTACTTCAGCCGTGTGCCCTTCACCCATGAGCAGAAGAAGCGTTGGTTCGCTGATCGTGAAGGGGTCTTGTTCGGCTTCGCATTCGCTTTCACCCACGTTATGAAGGCGCCCTTCATTGGAGTCCTCCTCTACGGCGTGGCTCAGGCATCGACTGCCTATCTGGTCACCAAGATCACGGATCCCCCACCGAGCCCTGCGCTGAAGGAGGGATTCGCCGAGACTCAGACGACCTGGAAGAACAAGCACGACTTCCTGAGTCTTCCCTTAGATAAACTCGACAAGATTAACATGGAAGAAGAGGAGAAAAAGCCCAAGGCATCTGATGCCCCTAGCCGGCAATTGTCCTAGATGGTGGTGGATTGAAGGAGGAAGGCCCCGGGATTTGAATGAGCGGCGGAGTAGACAAGCCGGGATCTGTATAGATTTGGGGCGGAGTTTTGGGGAAATTTGTAAAGGGCTTTTATAAGAGCCGTATGGGTGTAACAATTCCGATATCGTTATCAGAAATAGTTGAATGCAAAATAGATGGGAAGAGGTGGGAGAAGCTTCCCCGCAGATAAGCGTCATTGACCCTCCGATAAGATAACCTTGTCCCACTTTCTCTCCCTCCCCCTCATCATCCTCCCCGTTCATTTCCGATTTGACCTACTGATAACCATGGGTCTGAGCGAGACTTTCTTTGAACTGCTGCAGCGGGGAATGTTTTTCTTAGCTGCAGGGGAGGATCGTGCAGCTACGAATACTTAATTGGCGACTGTCAGCCCGGGGGAGGGGCGTTTCCTGCAGAGCTAAACTCATTCTTCCCTTCTGCTGTACATCTGCAAAGACCTTCATCAGATACCAGACAGAAGTATCACATCACATCGTACTCACCATGGGCCACAAGAAGATCCGCACGGCGCTCACGGTTGATCTTGACAAGCCCGCCTGGGAGCAGCCTGGCTTACACGTGCGTGTCATCTGATCTGATACAGTTCCTGTCTCCGCACCGATACTGATATTCTGCAGAACCGATGGCATCCAGATGGTACCGCCACAGTCTCTATTGATCTGACATAATCTCCAAGCGCCATGCTAATCATAACCTCATTTGAACGAAACCAGTCCCCGCATGCGGCAAAATCGCCAACAACGAAGTCGTCAAGATCGAATGTCTCGACTGGACCGGCGGCCAGATCAAGAACAACGATTCCGCCGACGACGTCAAGAATGTCGACCTCACCCAGATCCACTACCTATCCGGTCCCTTCGAGATCGAAACCGCCGAGCCGGGCGACGTTCTGCTGGTGGAGATTCAAGACGTTCAGCCCTTCGAGGATCACCCCTGGGGGTTTACGGGGATCTTCGACAAGAATAATGGAGGCGGGTTTCTGGATGAGCTTTATCCTAGAGCGTGAGCCAGACCCTTACCTTTCGCAATCTGATTTGGGAGGAGAGGCGAGGCCCTAGAACTGACTGACTGTATACCGCAGAGCAAAGGCCATCTGGGACTTTGAGGGGATCTTCTGCTCGTCGCGACACATTCCCCACGTCCGCTTCGCGGGACTGATCCACCCCGGAATCCTGGGTTGCGCGCCGTCCGCCGAGATTCTGGCGGAGTGGAATCGTCGGGAGGGGGAGTTGATCGCGGCGAGCGCGGATCTCCAGCGCGATGTGGCGAAGCCCCCCGAGCCGAAGAATGCACATGCAGGGAGTGCCGATGAGAGTCTGAAGCAGAAGATCGCCAGAGAAGGGGCGAGGACGATTCCGGTATGCTTCCCTCACTTCTTCATGCGTTCCCGTGAAACGAGGTGAAGTTGGAAGCTGAGCTCAAGCTAACACAATCTTGATTTCTGCTCTAGGGCCGCCCCGAACACGGCGGCAACTGCGACATCAAGAACCTGTCCCGCGGCTCCAAGGTCTACCTCCCCGTGCACGTCCCCGGCGCGAAGTTCTCCGTCGGCGATCTGCACTTCTCGCAGGGCGACGGGGAGATCTCCTTCTGCGGCGCCATCGAGATGGCCGGCGTCATCACGCTCAAGTTCACCGTGCTCAAGGGCGGGATGGCCAAGATGGGCATGAAGTCCCCGATCTTCCACCCCGGCCCCGTGGAGCCGCAATTCGGACCGGGTCGATACCTGACCTTCGAGGGATTCTCGGTTGATGAGAACGGAAAGCAGCATTACCTGGATGCCACGGTGGCTTACCGCCAGACCTGCCTGCGGGTCATCGAGTATTTGCGTCGGTATGGGTATGATGATTACCAGATCTACCTGCTGCTGAGCTGCGCGCCGGTGCAGGGACATATCGCCGGGCTGGTGGATATCCCCAACGCGTGCACGACGCTGGGGGTGCCCATGGATATCTTTGACTTTGACATTCGGCCGGAGGGGGATGTGGTGCAGTTGGACATGGGGAGCTGTGCGTTTACAAGTGAGTAGGGTAGATGCAGTGGTTTATTTGTCAAGAATTGAGGAATGCTGTTGCCTTTCAATCCTACGTGGTCTCTTCCAGCTTGGTATGATTATTCCTTACGGGCCAGCATCAGTTAGTCAATGCCTTTCCGCGGTCTTGAGTTAGTTGCCTTCAATGCGAGAGCAGGACCATTGTGTAGACTATTCAATACGTAAGAGCACAGCTTCTGCCTTAAAATTAGCCACCCAGGCGTACATTGACAAAGGAAAGAGTTTCGACCATGTAGACCTAACATACCGACAAGCGAAGCCCAAAAGATGAAAAGGGCATAGCACAGAATGACTGGCGACTCGGATCCCAGACAGAGTTAAAAGAGACCTGCAAGGAAAAGTTACCCCAGCAACAACCACATGGCATCTCTCATGGAGTATCATATGTCCGGGATATGCATTGCAAGGAGCCTTTCACCATGCCAGAAACCGAAGCCTTATTCGCAGCAGCGAACAAGAGGATCTATGGATTATGATCGGCACATGCGTAGCATAAACCCTTCGTGATGTTCGGGGATATCATAATGGTCATTCTGTTGGTTCCCGATGAGATGGAAGATCCTGTACTGCTACCAGATGTCACGGAACATCGCCATGGGCGAGGAAACGTAAGTATCAAGATGAATTGTGTTGAGTTGTCAAGGAAAGGAAATTCGGAAGAGCAAGACTAGCTAATGGCCGAATATCGACTACCACGTATTCCGCTACAGATGCCGCAGTTCTAAGAACTGCTGGTGTCCTCGACTGCTAGATATATCAAGATCGTCATAGATCCAGTGACGGTGGCGTAAGGTCGAGATAGTCGATAAATATAGCGTCTAGAGACGATGACTGAATCATTTTAGAATATAAGAAATAGACTGAATATGCAGTCTGGAATCCATCGAGACGAATAGACGTTCGTACTGAGGACTCCGATATGAGGAGGGAGGAAGGTAGAACAATTCATCAAATCAAGCAATTTGATTGATGATATTTTCACTAGCTAAGAGACAGGCAGATTGAGGCTAAATAATAAAAAAGAAGAGTGACTATTGACTAATAAGCAATAACTAAGCTACCGGGCTACCATCAGCCGGGATGTTGCTTCAAATAAAGGATAAACCTCAACAAGCATTAGAATAAAGGAAACAAGCTGTTGTACGCGCTTGACGCGGTTGAGTGCAGTGGCATAGAGGAAAAGCACCGCTGAATGACAGGAGTAATCTCATGATTGTCGGGCTCAACCGAAGATCCAGGAGCAAAAAGATCAACGTCTTAAAGACGTGATAGGACATGCTACCATTGTAGGCGCAGTACGTGATCTCTTTGATATGGTGCATCTGATTGTTGACTAGACTAAGCTCCGGTAAGGCCTTGCCCCAATGCGCCGGCATCAAAATTGCCCGAGAATGGTACTGAACGTGGTCTAATATGCATGTTCAGCAGCAAGAGGAACTGCCCAGTAACCGTCGGCTGCATCCGCCTTGAAGAAGACATGGAGTTTTGCTAACGCCATGCTGTTGAGGTTAGGTTCGATTCTTCGCATCGAATAAGCCATCTCAACAATCGCATCATTTAACGCAAGGTATTGATGGACCATTCTCAACTTGCCATTTGACTTCAGAGGAAACATGGTTTTCGACGACCACGGAGACACGCACCGTTTAATAATGCGGGCGACCACCGTCGTCGGGGTATTATCCCGTTGCTCTTGTATCTCCTCAGGAGTATACATCTTCAGCTTCGCGATCTTCGTTTTGGCCCAAGGATACGTCGGAACGCGGTAAATGATGAAATTGGTCACCGCATGTCCCTCACATCAGCACAACATTTGGTGTAGGTGGCCGATTCTAGCGGATCCTGCATCCGCCTCAACTTAATCAGGTGACTATCGGCATTTACTTCATGAAGGTTGCATACTAGCTGTGTGGGTTTCTAGTATTTATAACAAAAGGGCGAGGGGTAGGTAGGACCATCGGCTATCCACTGGGACTCTGGGCATGTTCCAATTTGGTTTTGATGCCTTGACATGAGTATGGTATATGCATCACGATGAGCAATTATTTTGCCCATATTCTCGAATGCATACATAACATATCTCTGAAACCTGCATCAATCGCGCTGAGATTCCTCATCGAGTCCCCTGAGACACAAGGTACAGAGATACACACGGTCATTCCGTCCGCTGGTTCTGTGTGTCCAGTTTTGGCAAAGGCGAAGAGAGCAAATCGCTCTCAGCTTTGAGCAACCTCGACTCGGAAAAGATTGTTGCTTAGAAGTCTAGATGACTGAGACTGAGCGAATGCAATTATCTCTCAGTTAGTATCATGGCCAGTAACCCACCGGAGGATGATAAGTGGTGAGTATGTATTATCGGGCTTCGTGGGAGCCTTCTTCTTTCTCTCAAGTTTGGCCCCTTGGATACCTGGGTCAAAAGCAACGTAGGATTTGTGAGAATGATACGTTGGTAGAGATGCGCTTGCTTAGATGTCTGCTTCTCAGCTTCTGATATATCACGTTGAAAATCGTAAAGGAGATATGTTTTATGATATCGTACGAGTCGAGGGCAATCAATGTGTGGAATGGTATCAATAGGAGTACCTGTCACCACGAAGAAAATCATAAGTAAATAGTTTTCTTCATACCGGCTTGTAGGCAGCCATTATATCAGTAACTGGGTGTTAAGCTGCTTGCTTGGCAGCCGGTCTGAGGGACGTTGAAATTTGATACAGCCATGGCAGGTACGTCTAGCTCTCTGGTAGATGAGAAGGATCAGAGTATCAAGAGAGCGGCAGAGTCGCAGAGTAGAAGTGTGGAAGAGTAGAAGAACAGAAAGAATGGTAAGGCAGAAGAAAGGTTGAACAGCTTGCAGCCTACTAAAGGTGAAACAAGAAGCTTTACAGTGAATCAATGTAAGGTTGAATGGTCTTCTCCGCTGATAATGTAGAGAATGAGGAAACAAGCTTGTTCACTATACTTAGTAGGCAGGGGTGCACGGAATAATAGCCGGAGTCAGTGAATAGAGACAGCCCTTACTATTAGTAGTACATCTCTATTCATCTCTCATCCAACTCCTTTCTTCTACACTCTTCATGCTTACTACTGTTTATCAAAGGTCTTACGATTCACCCATTCATTCACAGTCCCAGATCACAGACCACCCTTGATCATGATCAACGATACTCGAGCCCGAATGCTAGAACTGAGATTGCAAAAGAGCGAAAAGCCAGCAACTGAATCTTTTAAAGCTTGCCAGCGGACCATTTGACAAACACTCTCCGAGTTTACCCCCTTGGGCGATAGTAGATGTATGATGGTGGTGGTGAGAGTAACTATCACCGCTTCAAGACACCCTGCTGCATGAGGCTCTTATTTTATCCTCCCTACAAACTGCTATTAGACTACCAGCTCATTGCTTTGCAACTCACTCTATCTCTAAGCTAAAATAGACTATAATTGATGTCTACAGTTCAACCTTCAAGAGCACAGTTCATATACTGTAACACGCAACTACCATCATGAAGCCCGGATTATAAGGGTACACTGGAAACTTGTCGGGATTTCCGGGAGCGAGTTCCTCTTCAACGAAATTGACGATCTTTCCATAAGGATATTCTATCCTGTTCTCCTGGAAGAGAACCCGACGAAACCCCACGATGGGCAAGAAGTACATCACCAGACAGAATATAATGTGGATATCAAGCATTGCAGAAGGGACTCGATCAGTGACATAGATTAGAGCAGGTATGGTGAACAGGTGGATTTTCAACAACTAAGAGGCCAAAAACCATGAAGCGAAGCGCTGCGTGGTGGTGCGGCGTGTTGCGCTGCATGATGTGCTGATCAACTTCAGTGTTAAAATTAGAATATTTAGAGCATCATCAGATGGGACTCTACGAAGAAGGTTCGGAGAGAAGCATAGTTTGGGATGCTAGGATAAGAAAAAATAAAAATTAGTCCGATGCTTATTGTACAGTGAACTTTAGAGCTCCGGGGAGGGGGGATGTAGGTGTTGTACGATACTGTACTATACATACCGTACAGGATCGACAAGGCAAGATGCTGAACATTGAATATTGATGTTATAGAGGCGGCTAGGGGTAAGAAGGGGTCGGGGAAGGAAAGAAAGTGACAAGCGCTAGGGATGCAGATTCGCAGTCTGTTCAATTCCCCCACCATGAGTTGCTATAATTATCTCATAAGGGGGCGAAGAAAAAGCAACCGGAGACCGATGATAGACAAGCAGGCAGGAAGAATCGGAATGACAACAGGGCCATTGCGTGCGGTATGAGAAATGAAGGTGGCCGATATTGCTGGAGAAAAACGTTTGATTTGAGTAAAATTAAGATTAGAGGCTTGCTGCAGGCAGCACGTCGAGCACCTTAGGCCGAAAATAGGTTAGGGGCGACGGTAAGATCGGGATAGAATCAGATTTCTAGATGGAAACTGGTAGCGATACTGCTAGAATAACCTCCGCCATCGAGCTCATTGACGCTTGGTATGCAATGGGATGACAATCTGTAGAATCAAGTTTGCCCAGGCCAAAGTAAAAATAGAAACCATATCTGCTAGTGGGAGACAAAAATAACCTAGAGAAGAGTCGGTCTAAGTCATTGTTCTTGCAACCTAGCAGGCCGTCATGCAGCGTGACGCACAGTCGTAACAATGTGTTCCTCAGCAATGCCCCTTGTGATTGGCTGAGCATGAATTCCGATTTTTGATAGCGCTCCGTGCATACATGCCTCCATGATTCCTACATACCTACGGTGTATGTGAATCCTTTTGTGATATTCCCCTCCCCAACGAACAGCTTTTTGATCCTGTTATTTGGCATAACGATGCACTGAGAAATTAACTTAGATTCTATCTACTTCTTCTACAACCATACCAAAAGTTTTGGTGTAGAAGTGAAATGGACATGGCGGTCGCGTAGGCATGAGGTTAAGATTAAATTGTTTCCAAAAATAATCCCCTAGTAGACCGCCCCTGTCATTTGAAAGCGCTGCAGTGGATCTCCCCAAAGTGGAGATCAGCCCAGAAGATCTCCACTCCCGAATTAGGATGTCGAGTGACGGGGGTTCAATTCACTTAGCTAGGCGCTATGAACGGTCGTTGGTTGAGCCTAAAGCCGCAGGTTATCATCTTGAAACATAAGCGCGAAGGAGGATGGAAATAGAGCAGCAAACAAAGCTGGAGCTTGAGGGGCCGCAACGCTAGTAGAGACCATGATGTGATGGAGGGTTTCTATTTCTGTTCATCACACTGCGACGGGCAAATGAGAAGAAGAGCGATGCATGATGCGCTTGTGAGTGCGCAAGTCCTGCACAGGAGGCCAATGTCATTTGATGATTCTGATTGGTGAGGTGGGAATAAAAAGAGGGAGATATGCCGATAATGGCATGCGAGCAGTAGTTCGGGCGTGTTTTGTAGTGCGGTCCTCGGCGGCTAACAATTGTTTGCGTACCACAGTCCCGGTAGAATCAAGCACGATGCACAGGTGGGCCGAGTCGGCGGCTAGAGAGGCCCAAGAATAGAATATCAAATTCGATTGCTGCACTCTGATTTGCCATTACATTATCTGCGCAATTTAGCAGGGGAAGGGTCATGTTGGCATCATTCCAGTCGACCAGGCGCGACCATTGGCAGACCCTGAAAGTCATATCACGGCGGGGAAGATTCGATCAGGGCCAAAAATAGCAACTGGCTGCCGCCCGCACCCTGATTTCCTTGTTGCTGCAGGTTACTAGCAATAGTGGGAGAGGGTGTCCAACCAGATGGTGTGAGCATGCACAATCCCTGTCCCGCGTCACGTTTGTCACCCCCGCACGGCAGGGGCTATCCGCCCAATCAATCACCCGAGGCAACCCTATCCCGAGCTAGAGGTATCTGGGCAGTACCTTAGCACTGCACTACACCTGGATCACTCATTTCACGCTAGGTCTGGGATTGAGTTAGTTAAGTTATCAATGGCTTACATGTAGGTAGCACTTCCCGTTCCGTACGCCTATTGGTCAGTAGATTCACGATGCTCTCATGCCCAGATGTCCCATGCCTTCCTCGCTATAGGCGACCACTCTTGTAGTGCCAAATGATAGGCGAATACAGCACTATTCTCTTTTACCCGAGTTCTATTTCTAGACTTGCTGCTTTTTTTAGTCGTATCTCAGGGGCCTTTGTGTGGTTTTTGCGCGATGCTCGGTCTGCTCATATTGCCTCTCAAAACTCTAGCCAATCCCAAGCTGTCTGATATCAACGGGCATCAAGCTTCTTCCGCCAGAAGTTCCGCCACGCTGCATGGACCAGGTGTCACTAGAACCACCAAGGACTGAGATCGTGGTGAAACGCGCAAATCATAGCTTGTTCTAGATGGATCAGGACCCACCACGCCAGCTTGAAGAATCCATCGCAGCAAGATCCATGTAACTTGCTGTGGACCCTGACACCCTCGAGATCTGCTTTGGCTGTGTGTATGACACCTTTTTCGGCGCCCTAGATATCCTGACGTCGGCGATACCTGAACATGGTATCCTAGAAACCGGGATTGTCAGCTAGAAACTTGATATTCCGTACCTTGTAGCGCTGGAGTAGACACACCGAGAAAGCGCTTGTTGACTTGGACAGTGTAGGCTCCAATCGATAATTTTATTATTCCATGAGAGAGCTTCCATTAAGTGCTTCCTTTGTTAAACGAATAGGCTGGTGTTGACTGTAAGCAATGCTGTGTCATGGCCACTACGTATACAGCTCTGTAATACATAGTATTACGGGTATATCAGATTCATCACGTATTATACGCCGTATCATTACAAATGCGCGTAGGCATCCCGCAGGATTGTTTGTTAGGAATATCCCCTTTCCAATCTGAACTATACAATTTGTTTGCGGGCGAAGGCTAGATATAGGAGCATTTTTTCCACTGGCAGGATCCTGCAATGGTACCATACAACACTTGCAATTTGTAAACGTTGGATCTGGACTCTGAGAATGGGGGCCGTGTTAGCAGCAAGTCATTCTTCGGTATCCGCAATAAGCCACGATTCGATCCTGTCTGACAAGTTTCACGCAACACAAGAGTAGCTCTCACGTACGACAGGCGTCCGCTATGGCTGATGGTTGACACGTGGGAAAAGGAAGCTGAGCTGTTACGCCATGGAGATCCTTCGTGGCGTCAAGGCAGATTCAATCGACATCTGCCAGTCTCTGATTTGCATGCCGGTCTCAAGCTGGCGGCAAATTTACCAAGGCTAAGCGATTTCCAACGTTCAAGTATGCAGTCTTATTGGCTCAGATTAAATCAACAACATGCTTTAGCGATATGTTTAATTTCATTGGTTCGTTCAGATCCGAGTCAGACAACTAACGCCAAGGGCCCAAGCACGCCCTCCCCCCGGCCCACAATAAAGACCATTATTGATTTATCTCGAAGCAGCCACAAAGAAACATGGCGTTTTCTGATGACAACAAGATACCATGCAAATACCCCAACTCCAAACCTCATCACCTGTTTGTTTGCAATCCTAATCGCCAGGATCTGGATGCGCGTGTGTCTAGCGGTCGTCATAGAGCTTAGAACTTGATAATGCAGGACAAAAAGAAAACCAAATCATTGCAACCCAGAATACAAGCATGAACCGAGTAGGAAGGGCAAGAAAAAGCAATCATTCAGGAACTCCGAAGCGTAAAAGGTGGCATCGATCTGTCGAAATATGATCGTGAATGTAGCAAAGCAGGTTTACCGCTCTTCAGAGTCGCTGGTTCTCCGCCTTTTGCCTTTGGGTGGCGCCTCGAGCGGAGGCGTGCGCTTCAAAGTGACCGTACGTGTGACAATATGTTGGATAGTAACAGTCTTCCCGCAGCCTGCATTTGTTGTGTCGATGCTCATTGTCCTCCGGTCTGCAGGGGAATATGGAGTTCGTACGGTGAACGGACTCTGAGGGGACTCGGCAGTAATGGGGGAGTATGGATAAGTTGACAACGGACGAAGACGTCGTAAGGTGCTGGAGCTCCTCACAGGTCGAGAGGAAGCGACTGGCGATGGCGGAATAGAAGTTGGGCTCGTCTTCGTCTCAATGTTTCCGGGAAAAGACGAGGTGCTGGCGGTCGAAGGCAACGATATAGGAGAGGGCAGAGTCTTGCTCATGACCCATCTTGTATAACTCGCATTGAGGCCTTCTGGTCCTGCATATACAGGGCTTAATGCCCGAAGAAACTCTGTGTATGCCCGGGGTGGTAGTACGGAAGGCCCATTGTCTGCGTCTTGTTGACTGGTGTCTGACCCGTAAGGCTGGTCATCTTGAAGTTCAGAAGGGAAAGATACTCCTTTGGGTGTCTTGAGCGGATAGAGCGCAGGTCGAGGAGCCATTGCACTGTCTTTGAAGCTATGAAGAATGCGATAAATAGGCAGTGTAGAGTGTGAGGATCTGTATAGTGGATAAAGTAGAAGGGGTGTTTGTATAGATTCACAAGGACTGGAGGGATGAATGTCAAGGAGGTTAAGATTGACGATGATCTTATGCGATTGAGACGATAGACCAAGCCAGTAAACAGGGGACAAGGTGGTAATATAGTAGTGCCCTCTGTGCCCACGGTGGATGTTTCCGAAATGGGTTGTCGAGCAGTTGGTGGATTAGGAAGTATGAAAGTTCAGTTGGTTTCGTATGATAACGGTAAGGGACATGTAATTGTGTTTCGTATGGATACAGGACGGGACGGTATCCGCTGGATGCAATTCCGGGCAAGGTCGGCTCTAAGCCGCGATCGAGTTAGCGCGACCAGGCTCCCCGATCGAAAATAGCAACAGCAGGACAACACCACTTGACCTACCTACCTCGTTCACTGCCTCGATCCTGATGAAGATGAGGCAAAAAAAAAAGACAAGCGGCGTGTCCGTCTATAGATCTGAAGTTCTATACTTGGTGGAGCACCAAAGTGGGGTCAAGTGTCGACTAACACAATTTGAACAGGAAGCGACCTATCTTGCCAACAGTGGCGGGGTTGAGCAGAATTAACTCAAGACCAAACTTGGTTGCAGAGAAGTGATAGACTACACCACCCGCTGTCATGATAACCCTTCTTTATATGCTCCAGAGTTCAACGCTCCTCGATTATTGAACCAGCGATATTCATGATCCGGCCATTACCCCGTATTATCGCGCGGCATCTGAATCAGAACCCCTCGAACAATGTCCGCGAATCCACCATGAACCCTCGAACCGTTTTCAGAACGGCGCTTCACATCTGCCAGCCTCAGCGGCATCGTCGCGACTCCTGAGAACACCAACGCTGTTTGATAAGGGTACGTGGTTCTTGCCGCCGCCCCTGAGTCTTCAGCAAGCCGCTCTTTGCTTCTTCCCTTATGCTTTGGGAAGAGTTACCCTGGTTCTGCAGAGTCATAGCCGCCCACCTGGGGCAAACCCTGCGCTGTCCCGATAGTTGATGCGCTTTGCTATATGGTTATAGACGCCGTGGTGATGACATCCAGCGTTCGCGCCCAATAGTTCTAAGTGAGCATCCCGTCTATTCGACAATGGTTTCATGATCCGTGCAACATGCTTTCTTGGCCTTGATCAATCTTTCATCAGTTTGATCTTATTGGGCTCTCTGTTTCTTCAGGAACTCTGAGTACTAGGGTTAGCCGACGATTGACCTCAGTTCGAATCGTCTCCGGCTCCCACGTACCTAGCCCGAAGGCCTATATTTGGAAAGATAGCAAGCAATCACTTGCTCGAGTCACCCTTTCTCCATCGCCAAGGTAACCCGCCATATGTCAACCATTTCACGCCTGAGCGGCATGACTTTCCGCGCACTGTGTCAGATGATATTCAACAATACACGAAGCAGCTGGTACAAGCTTTTGATGTTGAACTAAGCCTCTCTCTTCAATTCAATCACCATGGTTTTGACGAGCGGATGATACTTCTCTTTGATTTGCATTTCATTGATCGCCAATCTTTGACGGACCTCCCTTATCTTGGGCATAGAAGTTGTTGACATTCATGAACTCTTTCTACATAACTTTTGGAAAGCCTGAGGGTATACTGGGGATACCTACCTGATTTACTGGCGTTGCTTCCTAGGTACTGATACCGTCACGACCTAAGGCGCATTCTATCATGGCTTTGCATATCGGCGCTTTGGTTCCTTGACAACCACAAGTGCAGCAGACTGAGTCTATTTACCCCTGCATGATGCGGGGTGGAATACGACGAGCTTAGCTAGAGTTTCGGGTTCTAAGATAAGTGTCAGGAGCTCTCAATCACCCCAGGTAAAGTCTCTCTGGTTTAGCTCTGTTCAATTGGCTCTCCAAACGCTATAATAGTCAGCACGTCATTTACAATGCTATCGTGTCAGTCGGAGGAGACATCTCTAACGAATGATACTGTTCCGCTACGAACCCGACCTTCGTCATGTGGATACTTGGACAGCATGTCTTGACTCCAAGATATCTTCACCTTGGTTTTTTATGGCTGCCCGCATCAAGGCATCAAGGCACCAAGCCTATCATCTTCACAATCTCCTTCAATCAGCATTCATGTCATAATTGTGGCTCACAAAACAGTGTCTACTCTAGTTTCAGAACAGTGACAGCGATGGCATGACGCTGGAACCAGAGCTTCTTTGTAGCTCCCAGTGATGCATCGGAAAGAGATAAATGTCCGATGACTAGCTTATCATGCTTACTGTACAGTCAAAAGCCTCGACCCCACTGCTGCTGCCGGTCAGAAGAATTGCAAAGCCATCGAGATTTGGTGCTGGCCCGGTGAATTTGATAAATGCTAAACATTTTTTGACTGGAGGCTACTCTTACTTAGTAAATCTCCAAGGTATTCACTAGGGGTCAGATCCATGATATCTATTATGGGCCGATAGGTGCTCCATGCGTTCACGAGGCCACCCAATCTTGAGAAGGTGTACCACGCTTGCACATTTTCGAATATTGATTGAGTCCCAGCAATGCACACCCTTCACGCCACTGTTTCCGCCTTCTGTTGGCTCGACCTTTCTACCAACCGACAGTGGGCTGTTAGTCTTTCCGAAAGTCGAGGCCTCATACACTGACGATGCCTTGGAGCCATTCGTCGATGGCTCCCAATTCGACCGCTGACAGCTTCCATGTGACAGTCAGAGGTCCTAAATATTCAATCAGCTTCCGTGCGACCCCATCCCGTCTTTGAGTAGGGACCTGTCCGGTTCCGCAGTCACACTTCATCTACACCCGTCTTATCCAAGGAAATCTAAAGAGCGATCTATGAGAGGTGTCTATGTTTAAAAAACTTGCACCTTATATCAACTCCAACGACATTCAATTCAAACAGACGGACTAATTCAAGGTAGTGACGGTATACTTGACGAGACTGGTTCTCTCCCATATTCTGCTTATACACGTTGAGCGTCTATATTCTTTCTTCTGGCTAGGTGCTTCAAGAATCATGAGACAATCAGTTTGACTAATAATCCTCTTACAAGAAGAATCAGATGAAAGGTATAACATATTATTATCCAAGTCGATAAAAACTGTCTTTTTCTTCAATGACGTAAGCCTATCGCCTTTCTTGTGGTAATATCCAGCACAGTCAAATTCCTTCTCCGTAGAGACTCCTCGCGATGTATTCCAGGGAACTTATACTCCTATGCTGATACGCAGTTCTCTATCTCTCGACAAACGACCACATGGTGTCTACAAGAAAGAAACTTACCGTCCCTTGATAAGTCCTTAGGGACATCCCTTGATTCTCCTTTTAGCCTGTCCCGAAAAGTCAAAGTGGCTGCCGGCTGTAGGCCATACATCTCAGCTAGTCATTCTACATTCATTCTTTCAAAGGTTCGAAAGGAGCGGGCGAGAATTCTGGTTGAAACCACACTCCCCCATGTATCCGGATGTTGAAGCCATTCACATATGACTAGAGACGTTTACCTGCATTCGGATTCCATCTGGTCCGCTCAGCACAGATTCCCACCGACAAAACACGTCTCACAGTTGACGCCACACAACCCCGTTATTTTTCCGCAGACTCCGCTGCTACTGGCTATGAATGCCAGCTCAAGTTGCCGTTTCTCGCCCATCATTTACTTGCGGCCTTTGTCGCGGACTCGCCCCTGAGCATATCAACGGTCTCCCTGCATTCTCAGCTGATCTTGTACTGAGTCCAATTGTCTTAATTGGCTGCCAGAGTCGGGTCTTGATCACCCTGCTAAGGTCACCTACCAAGGGACTCGAACCGCAGCACATACAGTATCACTGGATTGCACTTAGAGAATATATTCTCGAGGGCAGCCAGCGTATAGTGAGTCACCCACACTTCAGAGAGCACAAGAGGGGAAAGAGGAAACTCGAAACCCAAGATAAACGGGATGCCCTTGTTATCGTCGTGCTCTTCGTTGTTCGCTGGATGGATTGTCAAAATTTTGTTCTCTGAGGCCCTCGTGACGATGTACCAATCGCATGCACAATCTTGAGTCACTAATAAGCTAAACCTCGCCAAGGACTGATATATCTGAACGAGGCGGAATTAGCTTGGCAACAAAAACATCTTCCAACATACGTAAAGACTAAGATTTACTTGTTATGATTATGACGGCTAATTGGTTTGAGACAGAAAAAAATATGAGTGCACGAACATAAAATGTGCCAAATAACAAGATAAGTCTTTGAGATATGTGCTAAGTGGCCAGATCTACGGCACGGCATCATCAAAATATGAGAGATGAGAAAATATATCCAAATTCAGGGAGCTAGGCTGAGCAACTATAAACATAGCCAAGACCAACAGTAAGCATCCAACATAAGTCATAAGCATGAAGACATCACCAACATCTGCGAGGAAGACAGTGAGAGAGCACGCGCGTAATCTTGCATGTAGCGGGAGCGACCCGCGCGGTACAAAGTATATGATGCGTCGGCGTCTCGCTATATAAAAAATTCAGGTAACCGCCGGTCTCCTGTGCCACCCGGGAAATCATAATAAGCGATGGCGCAAGAGATGCCCTTGGTGCGCGCCAGATCGCAAAACCTCTCTCAGAACGATAAGAGGCAAAGAATGGAAAGGAAAAAGAAGAAGAAAATCGGATGTGGCATCAAGCCACAGCTGTGCCAAGTATGGAAATAGCACGCGCGAGAAATCAACCAGAAGCAGGTCCTTAGAGGGAACGCATAAAGAAAGGCAAAAATGTGCTTGTGGAAATCGACAGAAACAAACAGAAAGAAACCACCTGCTCCTCAACTCCTGCCACATATGCGCCGGAAAGCCAACTGTTCAGCTTTGCCGCAGCTGCAGCTGCATGCTGAGTGAAATGTCAGTTTCTCGAAGGAAGCAAAAAAAAGGGCATTGCGATGGACGTACAAGAGATTGACTTATTTTAGTTCTCGAACTTCGGTTCTTCTTTTCTTCATTTTAGCATGTGTTAGACACGCTATAATAGCAGGTAGTGCCAATTTCGGCGTTTCATCACGTCTCGCCAGTGGACAGCCTGCTTTTTGATGGGTCGACCGATTGTTTCGATCGCGGGTGGTGGAATTGAAGATCCATCTGGACCCTGCTTGAGATTCATCGAAGGCAGCAGGTAGTTCGCCTCCGTGTGGATCTGTGTCGTGGTGTCGTCCGAAAGTCTCCAGGTCTCTTTCAGTACGCGGTACATGCGGCCAAAGCTGCCATATTCTGCTCCTTCTCCCAGTAGTTCCGATCGCTTCGCCAGTATATCGCGGAATTTACTCCCTGGAGTCGAGTATACTCCAGCTATCAGTAGAGGCCAGACGATCGAGCGGTCGAACCCCCAAGGGCCATCGGGAATGAACAGAAGGAGATCGGCGACTGCTTGTACCAAATTGGCTGTACTCTGTTGAGTGCGCTCATAGCCGGGCACAAGGGTGGAAAGATAAACTCGAGCTGCAGCGCGGAAAACGGCAGTCACGTTCTTGGTCAGCTTCTCTGGATTCACAACACCAGACGCTGAGATCGGGTTCTCCGGGCTACTGCCTTCCGCATACTCTAGCTGTCCACTCAGGGCAGAGACGTGATGGCATATAGAATACTCGTCAAGCCGTCGCTCACGCTTCAAGGAGTCGAGACACGCAATCTCTGAAATCAGGTACATAACGCGATCGTCACAGCCCATCAGCTCCCGCAAACCAGACGATACACCATTGAGATGTTTCGAGCGATACGTGTGCGCGAACTTGGGTGACTTGCCTATCATTGTGGCACCGAGAATATCGATCCAGGTAGTAAGCGACATGTTGAACGGTAGAGAGACCTGGGGCTTCGTCTCGATCAATCCAAGCTTATTGACGAGGTCTGCGGCCGCCGAAAAGTGTTCGTACCACGGGATCTCCGGCAGGTAATCGTCTGGTTCGCCAACAGCGCAGTGGAATAGTATTGTTGCAAGTGTTCCGTCCAGCACCTTGTCATGATGATTGCTGGATTTCAAAGCCTGGTGCAGGGCTGAGACGGCAGCATACCGATGCCGCATGATATCATCAATGACTTTTTCGTCAGCTTTCAAGCTAATACTGGCGTTCACTGTCTTGACGTGAATAGCCGACACGCTAAGACAGCAGTGATAGTAGGATTTGTTCGTCTCTAGGGCCCGAATAATCTCGCGTGTGCGGGCACGACTCCGCGGATGAACGTCTAGAATGGGGAAGATTAGTGGCAGCACATTGTCGACAAAATGGTAGAGTAGGGGCCTTTCAGCTTCGTTGACACTTGTCGTTCGGAAGTAGGCAGACAGAGGTATCTCGGCATGCTGTGGATGTGTAGCTTTTGCACGGGCAGGGGTCTGGGAGGCTGGGATGTTTCCTTGAAACAGCGCAACACTCGGAAAGGCAGTGCCGGTAGATGCGTGGGAATCTCCAGTATCTCCTTGAAGTAGTGGGTCAATCGGGAAGGCGGAGTATGAGCTAGAAGCGTGATGAATTGACTGTGGAGGCTGCTGAGCGACTGGTGGCTGGGTATAGTATTGTGAGGCCTGAGACGCAAAATTTTGAGAGAAAGTCGGAGAAAGCAACTGAGATATATCTGGAACAACGGTTTGGTGCAGCTGTTGAGAATACTGCTGATCGGTGCTCTGGGAAAGTGGTTCTGATTGCTGTGACAAGGGCAATTGTTGGAGTATCTGCTGAGGCACCTCTGTTTGGGGATAATGCGGAGTGATATCAATCTGTTGATGCAAATGCTGCGGCACACTTTGCATTGTTTGCTGAAACGGAGGTAGCATTGGCGCAAACTGGGACATCTGGTGAAAGTTTTGCGTTGTGGGCAATTGTTGTGGGAGCGCAGAAAGCGGGGGAAGCTGCATTGGCATTTGCTCAGGACCAAGGCTGGTTAAGGTAGACGTAGTTGGACCTTGCCAGGATGAGATGTCATTGAAGTCGAAGCCATAGGGAGAGGACATTGATGGTAGGGGTGGAGTCTGCATATACGCCGCGTCCGATTCGTATGAGCTTTCGCGCGACGGGGGCAAGTTGACATTGACGCGCCTCTTGCTCGAAGGAAGAGTGCGATCGATAAATTCTATTGCTGAGTGTGGGAAGAAGTCTCAATATAACTCGGGTGATACTTCAAAGCATACCTTGCAGGTTCTTTTCCTTTTCCATGACCTTGGCAACCCTGAGTCTCCTCTTAATCCGCTCCTTATGTATGTGTCGTTGTTCGAGATTTCTCCACCAGGTCGGTTCATTGTATTCGCAGGTAATATCGAGCTTGCTGCATGTCGAGCATCTTGGACGGTTCTCATCACATTTCTTGCGCCGCAGGCGACAAATATAACAACCTGCGCGAAGTAAAAGTGTCAGTCCAGATCACTCGCGCGCGGTTTCAAGGGTAGGCGTTGAGAAGTGGGCGTCAGTGGGACTGACCGGAACGTGAGCGTCGGTAGGATCGAACAATTCTTTCCCCAGGACTCATAGGCGGAATGTTGGGATGAACAGTATTGTCCTTCACCAACATGGGTCCCGAACTGGAAGATGCCACTGTTCCTGACATGATGACCGCGGAAATCGTCTCCGAAATATCGTGTTCCAAAGTTCGGTAGTTTTTGCCGAGTCCAAGCTGGATATCGGTCCAAAGTCAAGTGCGAACGATTGGTGTGATCTCAGTGCAAGCCAGGTACTTTGGAAATAGCCAGCCTGGACGAGATGTGTGGTATGAGCTTGAGGCTGTGCAGGAATGGAGGAAACTGGAACCGAAAGAAGATTGTCGCAGACTGCGTGGCCTGAATAAGACCAGCTTGTGTCGAACATGATGCCTTAATATTGTTGGAAGAGGGAGTACATTTAAGTCTAGCGTGCGATAAAGCGTCATGCTACGATGCTTCTATTTTTTGACGTGGGCGGTAGAGCTAAACTGGAAATGCAGTGAACGGAACCAACATGCAAACTGCGGGCGGGGAAGATCTGATGCGAGCGACAACTAGTGGGCGACTAAGAGCTAATTTTGGGAGCATTGGCCTGAAGGTGCCTGGGCGATTTGCATCAATTAGGAGGCAGAAAAGAGCCAGGGTCCCCGGTCAGGGTCTGCACCTAGTCTCTGCTATCGCGCTTCCCCCAGCACTGATGAAAAGTGGACTGCATCCCCAGTCTCTCATCATTCCGTTCATCAAGACTTTCTTCTCACTCAGTTCTTCATCAGAATGAGATCTGGGTTCTTTTTTTCCCCAACTCTTCCGCAGTCGTGGAAGGTGAAATGTTGAGTGCGAAAGTCTCGAGGCACTGGAGATGCTGTCTATTTTCTGCCACCAGAGATCAAATGACCCTTGTCCGGACTCACAAGAACCCCTCTATCCATTGGTTGCAAGACACTTGACAGCACGATATTTCCTGTTTGGAGAGCCAGTGGGCGACTGCTGAAACGACGTTAGAGAAAATAGTGTGTGAAAGAACTGCAAGAGGTGCATGCCAAGCTTCACCCCCTCGGAAGTCATTGGTTGTGCTTGTCAGCCATCGGCGGTTCGGTGGGTTGGGATTGTGGGCGCTAAACAGTGTTCCAAGCATTCCCCACCAACCAAGAGCCGACGTTGGCTGTGGCCCGTGCAGAAAAAGAAGTATTGATAAGATCTCCTTCGATTTGTTGTGGTCTGCCGCACATGGATAGTCTTGCATGATCCCTTAATTAGTAACCAAGATTAACCGCCCACTTTGCTAGAGAATGCTACTTAATTGCTTATTTGAGCGCCAGTAAAGCATATATTTGACAGTTTAGTCTCAAGATAGCCGCCTAATCCCTCTTTTTGGTGATTCTTGGTCTCTTGCTGCCATATTTTTAGCTCATATCACCAGCGGCATTCTAATAATAACCGTCTCTCAATTCGTCACTCTACTGTCCCCGCGTGGTGGACCCATTATGAATATTCAGGGCACCTAACGTATATCACACTAAATCGAGCGCAAACTGGCTAATCAGAGACTTTCGATCACCGGATTAGGCGCAGAGAGACATAATTAGTATCTTCCCTGCGTGGATCTAGAGACCAACATGCCTGGTGTGGGTTCTTGAGAGTCTGGTATACCGAATCATTCAACTTACCAGACTGCTGGTATCTGTCACCTACAGCTAGATTTTGCCACGCTTTCCGACAAAAGGGATACGCTGTGATTATTGCGCGTCTAGTTGGCGTCTCCTCGGATCAGATGGCGTTATCCCAAAGCACTATGCGACACGCTACGTGCTCGTCTCGAGAGTCAATGGCTATGAGCTCGTGAAATGATATGCAGCCAGGACCAACTTGAAGGCCGCCTCATGCGCAGCGTCAATGTGGAAAAGATGTCCGGGGAGATGTTATCGTCTAAAAGTCTTTCTAGAACATGAATTGACCTGAGAGTGGAGGATGTATGGATGTACAAGGCTTCGTAGCTCATCCTGGGTTCCAGTTTACCCGCGTTGCGCGTTGCGGGATCCACTTGGCTGACATGATCTCAACCTAAGGATATCAAGTACAGCAAGACAAGGCCTTATTATATCTTTTATCTAAGAAATACAGTAACAATCGGCATCTTAGTGCACGGAGTAATGTGCACGTAAATGCTTCCACTCAGGAGCTAGACGTTGAGGTCGATTGTACTATGGGTTCCACTGAAGCTCTATTCAGACTAAGCAGATGTTTATTGGGCTCTAGTTGTCAATGCGACGCTCAGCAATATTTTTCAGGGTATTGATACTGGAATATGAGCGAACAATACTAATGTACAGCATAGTCTTTGTTCTCTCACTCCGTGCTAAGAACCGTATCACGAAGCTTTTGCTTCCGGCGCTTCATTGAATCTCCCTGCTTGGGGTATGATTGAACATCTTGTATCAAACCACGCATCCAAATTCCTGCTCGCAACGACGTTGTTAGGTATATGAGATTGTGCTGGTACGTAGGGAAGGCGTAGGCTCTCGGGGCCTTTGGGTCATGGTCGGCAAGGAATAGGGTCAGTTCCGGCAACGTTCACATATCTGTTATGCTTCGGGGTGTTAACTAATTGATGAATTAGCTGGAGTCACCATAAACTGCAAGTAGAATTTTCTGTGTGAATTCTAGGTCAGGACCTCTGTGAGGGAGATTGTATAACATGCTGAGGGTGGTGTCATCTTGATATTCAAAAGAGAGAGATATTGACGTCCAGCCGCTGTGCATATCACATGACTGGTGCATATGCAGATCGCGCAGCAGCCTACCCATAACTCCCAGATGGTATTGAATCAATGAGCCTCCCGAGAACACGGTCTAGTTATCATTCTTACAGAATCCACGTTAACAAGCAGACGCTGCTGGCTCCGCTACTAGAAGTCAAGGGCTATAGGCATCCCAACAAGTAGAGATATCATTCAGCCGTAATCGCTAAGATAGAAGATACCCCAAGAAGATCTAGATTGTTCCTTGCCTTGCGTTTGGCGGTGGACTGATGAAAGCGAAGGTAGGCGAGTCAGGCAGTTGCGGCGTTGGGTTTAGGATCAGACCAGCAAGTAAAACAGGCGGTGAGACAAACCGGCCGAGTCAAAGTTTGTTAGAGATATAATCACGCAAGTCACAGTAGCTGGCTGTCACAGTACATAGCCGTGAGGGGTAACCATGTCCAAGCTCCGGAAATCCTCGTGCTTTGACTTGGTTTCCCAGGTGAAGTCACTCCCGATGACACAGGTGGACAATGGTTAGATCGGTTCTGATCGGTCCTGATCAATTCTGGCCGGCACTGGCCGACACTCAACTTACTCGTGAGTCCCAGAAGATGCTATTCCTGGAGACATTAACCGCCCATTATGGTGAGAAACACACCTAAAACTCCCCTGTTGTAGCTATTCTTATCGTTGCACAATGACCTGAGGTGATTAAGGTGAAAGCCGGCTGCTTTAGTGCTGTTTAGTGACTTTAGTGTTTGAGGGCTGTCTGCGACGGACCAACCCCGTTTCCCGTCACCCCGTCGTCCCGTCATCACAGCAGTAGCGCCCTTTACCGAGCCAGTGAGATATCATTTAACCCTCTTCTACTGTGTGCCATGACCACGGTCCTCTCAGAAGATGCTAAATCGAGACTGTCTGGGGATGCAGGAGCGTGGCTCAAAGCCAATCAGCGAGTGAATGAGCCCTGAGCGACCGCCTTCCAAGCGCTGGCATATTTCCAGGTTACCGAACAACAGCGAATCAAACCCCCAGCTCCCGGAGTCAGAACAAGGCGACGATAATCCATTCGACGAGTACAGGTCCTCCCCGCCTCATGCAACTGCATGCTCAAATTGTCACATCCATAGATTCTCTCATAGCAACGGCCAGTCACCGCGATCGTACCCCAGGTCCTTGGTCGTGCTCAGTTCTTTTTTTATATCATGCCGGCTGGGATTTTGGCCGCCTTGGTTCTACATATACGTGTCGATTCTCTGCTCCCTCTCGCCCTCTCGGACGTGCCTCTCCGTTTGATTACCCCCCCTCCAACATCCACAATCATTTTCCAGCGAAAGAAGTCATGTTTTACTGTCCATAAGATACCTCAATCGAGCCAATCCAAATAACTTCAACGCACACCTTCTCATCTTGACTTTAGTCGCCTTGAGTGTTACACGCCTCGATCATCACCGAATTCCCAGCACGAGTGCTTGGTGCAAGATCATAAACGGAAGTTAAAGTCGATACACAACGCTTTTGGCGGGTTCCAAAAGCATCTAGCTTGGGGTTTCTCCTAACCCTCTTCCAGGTAGAAGCCTGGTATGATATCTTCTTCTCTTGTCCACCATCTCAATGAAGGGCATTGCTCATTCAAGTCAGGATTCGAGCAAACAAAAGAAATTGCCACAGGTTGAATATGCACTACTTTCAATCACTAGTCGCCAATCCGTCGGTGTCGGATACCGACTCGACCGAGATCCTAGACACGGATTTCGATTCCGACTCGAACGAAGACTATTCTGATATCTCTCCGAACCTTAGCGTTGGATCTGTGAGTATAATCTTCTAGTGCTATAGTAGGTACGGATGGCTTTGTTCTAATATTGATTCATTTAGCTCGCGGGTGATAGTGTCACGACTGCATCAACGCCGACCGACTCAAGTCCGGGAGAACCAAAAACTCCAGATTCCACCGGTCTGACAGGATTTCATTTCGCTATCGATGAAAACCCAGTGAAGGGTCCTGTAGGTCCCCATCTGTTCCGCATTGGCTCGGATGGATCAGAACTTGAACATTCTTTCGATGTTGAATTGATTATGGACGACTTTGGCTCTGCACCAGCAACGATATCACTTTATAACCCAACCTCTACCCTCGAGCCCGACCGAGAAGACACACCAGTGCCCAAAAACCCGACCCAGAATGCCCTCACACTATCTCAAGCTCAACCCTCTCGCTCACGACCGAACGAACGAGAGGTTTCGCACTGGTCTCCTCAGGATGTCGTTCTATGGCTGCAGAGTCAGGGTTTTGAAGATTCGATCGTGGAGAAATTCTTTATCAATGATATCACGGGTGCCATTCTACTTGAACTTCAATCCGAAGATTTAAAAGAGCTTGACATACAGTCATTTGGCAAGCGGCATCGGGTTATGGGCTGCATCCGTCAACTTCGAACGAAAACAACTTCTGTCATTTGTGATGCTCCCCAAACCCAAGAAAATTCGGATCCGATCTGCAGAGAAGACACGACGACACCCAATTCCATGGCAGCTCAAGTTGGTGTCGAATGCTCAAGTCCTTCTCCTGTAGATGAGAAATCCAGATCCAAGTCTGCTCAGCAACGGAGACGTCATCGCAAGCGGCGAGATGGTGTGGATATCGTTCCTGAAGACTCAGTCTCGATCGTGGCCATTGAACAGCTACTGCCCAGGCTCCACACGTGTTCAAAGGGGGAAAACTGTCGAAAATGGCAAAAGCAGCAGGTCAAGCTCACTCGAATGCTAAATGATCTTCCCATTGAAGGCCTAGGTGGCTCTGTTGTCATTGCAGGGGACCCCGGAAACGCGACTACAGCACAGAACATGGCCAAAACTCCGAAGTCGGAAATTACGCCTTCCATTGTTGCGTCTTCCGATGCTCTGGGTCAGAATCAGAACTCCAAATTCCAATTGTCGCAAGACAAGCTCAATGGGGTGCGGCCTCGCGACCCACAAGAGAATGTGCGCAACTTTCTCAATTTCCAGCGCCTGAGTGAGCTTCAGCCGGTGACCAATCCTTCCACTCCCCCTATTGAGCAATTGTCGCCTGCCACAAGTTCCCCACAGTCCGTCAAAGCCAATGGCACTCTTTCCGAGAACCTTCGGCATCTTCCAAGGCTTAGGATTCCCAGTACACATGCGTCGACATCTACCTTCTCACCCAATTACTCTGCCCAACGCACCATTACTCCCTCGATATTACGAAAGCACCAGGGCTTCTCTCAACAAAGTTCTGTTCGTTCATCAGGAATCCTTGAGGCGACTCTGTCACCGTCCGACTACTACAGAATTGACCCTCACTACGATCAAAGCACACCCTTCTCCGAGGTAGACATTCCGCTTACTGCCATCCCAGTAGGACCAGTGTCTCGGGGCGAATCGCAGTCTGTACCTCCAAACATGCGGTTCGGGGGACAAATGCATCAAGTTCCTGACTTGATTCCCCGGCCTGCCTCGACCAAGGCAGAGAACGCCTGGAGAAATGGCGTCATCTGGAACAGCCGAAATCAGCCGAAGCTAGGTCGACTTGAGGAACGGTCACCATTGCCGCCAATCGATACCCCGGAGGATATGGAGAAGACACCCCGCGCTGCCCATTGCAGGACTCCGTTCACACCCCATGGGCCTAACAAGGTTGCCCACAGTGGGTGGATGAAGAAGCGCAAAAACACGCGGTTCCTACGCCATGACTGGGAGGGCCACCACTTTACCCTGCGTGGCACGCAGCTGGCCATGTATCCCGACGAGGAATCATCAAGTCGAGAATCAAAGGCCCTCGAGTACATCGATGTGGACGACTACGCTGTGGCGTGCTCGTCGTTTGCTTCCAGCTCGAAATTGACTGCCGCATTCAAGAAGACTGTTCTAAAGCGCAAGGATGAGATTCAGGGGGAGACTGCATTCACCTTCTCGTTGATCCCTTCTCCAACCAATGGTAACTTCGACAAGAAGAATCTCTTCCTCAACGGCCCTAAAGCGCATTACTTCGCTGTCAAAACACGCGATGAACGCATCGATTGGATGAGGGAGTTGATGCTCGCGAAGGCACTCCGAAAAGGCCGCGAAAGTGGCACATCTATCCACCACAACGGGAACTTCATTTGAGCATATATCAAGAACTTGCTTGTTCCGTCGCCACTCTCCTCATCTCGATATGGATATTTCGATACCCCTCATGAGCTTGCTATCCACTTTTTTGTATCTCAGCCACTGTTTTGTTTGTTCAATCGTTCTTCTGTCTGTTCATTTTGGGGGCTTTCACATGTTGCCCTTTCCAAACCTAACGACGTTATGACGACTACCCAATTTGTTTTTGTACCAACTGACCTCTTGTGTTATATCTCTCGACATCACCTTTCCTTTTGTCTGTGGCAGGTACAACACGTTAGACATGATGTACGCTTGATAAGCTAGGCTCACGCCTTTGCTTGTCGCAGTGGAGGTTAATTAATATTGCCGATACCTTGGAGCTGGCTCTCCGAAACGAACCATGAACAATGTTGAGATAGGCATATCAATTAGCTTAGATGAGCAATTGTAAATATGATCCGACCGAATGAAAACGACTATGTTTCGCACCTCAGGGCTAGAAAGGATATATAAGACTTGTAGTGTTGGGTTCTTTTTGCAATGTTTTACTGACAACCTTCTTAGGACTATGTACTCACTACTTACATGGCCCTTTTTACGGAAATGCAAGCCTCGAAAATTCAACCAGCCGCTCACGCGAGCCAAGCCTCTGAGCTGTTCTCCTTCGGAGCCATACAATTTTGACACCTTACCCACAGACTCTCTTGATCCTGCTACGGCGAGAAAGAACGGGGGCCAGTAAAAGCCGCGCGCAGCTGGAGGAGGGTGTGTTTCATGTGTCGAAGTGGCACGGTACTTTTTTTCCGTCCTCCCCTGCCCCTCCCCTCCCCTCTTCCGACGGTTAACCACTCCACTCCATGCATCAAGTAGGTAGCATGCAAGGAAGTTCAGGTCAGCACAACAGCGAGACCTGCCAATCCGCATAGCCGTCACACGTCCTAGGGCATGCGTGAGGTGCAATTGGTAGTTGGGACTAGAAGTAAGTAGCGGGGGGGCTCTTCCCGGCGGCTAATACACCGCGGGGACTGGTCCGCCTCCTGCGGGTGGTGATCACGTTCCCCCGCTTTTCTGGTTAACATGGGCCCATGGTTGGATCATTCCATAATTTTTCAGTGTGATGACCTGCTCGTTGATATAACACAGTGCATTTCACCGCTGCTATTGCTGTTGTCGTAGCTTTTGCTCTTGCTCTTTCTTTTGCTGTCTACACACCTGCACCCGAGACTTAGTCTTACTTGAGGGGTTGGGAATCACAATCGCCCTAGACCGGGGAGGGGGGGGGGGGTGCCTGAAAGACATGGGATGTACTCCGTAGTGCGATTTCATCATACCATAAACTGCTGGGTTTTTTCTATAGCATGCATCGACCGGCATGAAAGTTGCACTCAGACTACACTGGCGACGAGGAACCTTCTTCACAAATGCCTATAGACATAAAGATCACAGAAGCTAACCGTGCGATAGGGCGTTCAAATGATCAGTTATCAGTGCGTATAGACGCTCTGGTGCAAGGCAAATGGATACCTAGCGGGTTGTCGCTGACCCTGGCCCAGCCAGCGGCTATCGATATGATGTCTGCCTGTAGCACAGAATCTATTGGCTTACACGCCTGTACAAGGGGGGTTTTGTACAGGATGGCCCACTGAGCTAATATTGCCGGAGTGCCGGAATGAGATCGGGCTTCTTAGCTTTGATATTAGTACAAAATATGTGGGTTAGCCTTTCTTGTCTGGATCAAGCGTTGGAACAACAAAACCATCTGGGCAGCCTTCCCAACACCTCTTTTCCTAGTTTTCTTCTCTCTTCACATTTATGATCCCAGCTCTTCCTGTCCAGTGGTGTGTCCCTGAGCCCAGTGGAAGCGGTGTTTGCTGCACGTATTCAAGTGCAGGTCATCTTGTCTGTTCTCATTCTCATCAGCTTCAGCACATCTTCTTCGCACCCATGCTACTTTCCAGCCACAATTGTGTGTGAATAGTCCTTGTAACAGAAGCAGCAAAGCTTGGGGGGCGGCAAATATACCACCTAAAGATTTTACAGCACATCCCCACTCGCAAGCATCCGCAAACGCCATTATGGTCCAGATCGCAACGCTTCGTGCGGGTCTCACCCAGACAACCCAGGCTACCCGCACCGCCATGCGATGCCTTAACTCGGGCCGAGACTCGCAGGAAACCTCTCAAAAAGCACTGACTCTCCTGTCTGACATCTTGGATCTTCTCTACCGTATTCAAAGTCAGATTAGCTGGGGAGAGGAAAAATGGCATGTCGACCCTGCCCGTCTCAATTCCCTGGCGGAGATGCTCGGCTGGTTCGACTCCACGGTCAAATCCATCGAGCTGTACTTCCAGCCCGGCGGGGTCAATGTTGCGTACTTCCGCAAACATCTGCTGGAGAAGACATTTCTGCCTCGTTTGGAACAGTATAAGATCGTCATGTTGCTCGCGATGCAGCCGGACTCGGAGTGAGTCTGCCCTTTTCCTGTGTCCATGTTTCACTCTAGGGTCATCCTATTAATTTTTCATTGTTCGGGGTTCAGAGATCGCACGTTACTGGATCAAGATATAAGGTATACACTTAAGATGGCTCGTGATATAGACTGTGGTATGTAAATTATACGTGCGATGAAGCGTGTTTCGTTGATACTAACGTTTGTAGGGCCTACAATTGATCTCCAATTTTCAGAAGATGCCTTGGGACTCACGAGCCAACTATGCTCAAACCAGTTCATCACGCTCGCAGACTTATGCAATAGGCGGCTGCGCGAATCATGCCGCTGGATCTTCGATCACGGTCAGTATAGGCGCTGGCTACTTGGTTCTTTCAAGACGTTGTTTTGCGTCGGTCCAGGTGAGCCTTGCGTGGAATGAAATTAAACTTCAAGATGCCTCGCTGATACCTGTGGTTACGAATATAGCTGGCGCCGGAAAGACCTTTCTCGCGTATGCCTGCCTCTGGAGGCTCCACAGTGCATAGTAGAACTAACATGGTGTATAGATCCGCTATAGTCGATTCACTTCAGAAAACATTTACATCATCCGATGTCGCAACCGTATTCATTTTCTGTCAGGAAGAGAGGGCAAAGGAGCAGACCTCTCTCGATATACTCCGCAGCATCCTAGCTCAGTTGGTCTACCGAAAACGGAGTCTCTCATACGCAACCTCTTCTCTCTACCACTCCGAGTCTCTAGCAAAAGGCTCGGCCTCCCCAAAAGCATATCAGAGTGCTATTCGGGCAGAAGTCAATCGGTTCTCAAAGGTCTTCATCATCATTGATGGACTGGATCTAATCTCTGATAAGGAGCGCATCCTTGGCCGGCTCAAGAAGCTCCCAGAGCAAGCACAACTCCTGGTCACCCTACGAGAGGTGTCTCAAATGGCTAACTCCTCCCTCGTCAACATCCTGGGAGCACCGGGGGATCTGCAGATGTATGCCATCTCGCGCATCCAGCAAGACCCGCGGCTGAAAGCGCTGTTGGAAGAGGAATCAGACCCTAACTGGCAGGACGAGGTCATCTGCACCGTCGTTGAGAAATGTCATGGAATGTGGGTAACCAAAGTTGCGGCTCAAACCCTTCCAACGTGTCAATCGCATGATCAGAGGGCTGACTTGTCCTGCATTTCCAGCTTCCTTCTAGCCAAGATTCACCTCGACCTCCTTTCACGCTATGAAAGTAGAAGTCTCCTAGAGAGAGCAGTTGCACATCTGCCGGAAAGTCTGAGCGAGGCTTATGGAGAAGCACTGAAACAGGTCGTGAGTCTGAATCCGATGGCTGCTCGCTATGTGTACTGGACGCTGTATGCACTCCGGCCTTTGACTGTTGCGGAGCTTAAATGTGCAACCAACACCCCGGCGGGCAACAGCAAGAGTGAAACTCAGACCTTTGAGCACACACTACAGACGAAGACCGCTGGCATCCTGACCGTCGACGCTGTGACAGGGACCGTGCGCTTCGTTCATCAGACGGCTAAGGGATACCTGAATGGGACGGCCGCTCGGGTCTTCTTCCCTACGGCGCAGAAGGACATTGCAGAGGTCTGCTTAACAGCCATCACACCAGACGAGGTGGTAGATGACTGCTATTACAACAACGGAGCTACACCTCGCACCATCAAGAGTGGTTTCCTTAACTACGCCGCGACATATTGGGGTCACCATGCGCGTGAGATGGCCGATGATGAGCAGACGATCCAGGTGTTGACAAAGACCTTTCTGAATAAGCTTTTGTGGAGACGGCCCCCGATACAAGAAACGGCTCCAGAACAAGGACTCCCTAGCGTGTTTGGGCTGGGCAAGTATCCTAAAGACTGGAGTGGTCTCCACATCTTGGCCTTCTTTGGCATTGTCCCCAGGGCTGAACGTCTAATTGTCCAGGGCGCTGCAGTGGACGCCAATGACAACTCTTTGAAGTTGACGCCGCTGCACTGCGCCGCCTATCGTGGAAACGAAGAGATGGTCGAGCTTCTGCTTGAACACGGAGCCGACATCAATGCGGTGACTCGAGATGGAAGCTCCGCTTTGCACCTTGCAACACTTCACGGGCATCGCAAGGTCATGAAGGTGCTCTTCAACCGACGCATCAACACCCAGATTGCAAACGAACAGGGCGCAACGGCCCTTCAAGTGGCCGTAGGCACCGAATGCGACGAATCTACCATCCCCCTACTCGTGAAAAACAAAGTTGATGTCAACCTCCGTAACATCCACACAGGAGATACAGCTCTCCACCTGGCCGTGCGCTGGCGGCGGCCTCGTATCATCCTCTTTCTCCTTGACAAGGGTGCCTCCATCGATATGACCAACGAGCTCGGAATCACACCGCTCCAATTGGCAGCCAAGGTTGACAACTGTGAGGCAATTTCTCTGCTTCTTCAGCGCTGTGCGCAGGTAGAGGCGCGCTCCCTTGCTGGATTCACAGCGCTCCAGTTGGCGGCGCATGCGAAACACTGGATTGCCTTTGATCTGCTCGTCATCGGTGGGGCAGACTTGAACGCGTGGAACAAAGAGGGCGAGACGCTGCTGCACGAGCAGGCGCGCAAGTCGGCCAACACGGCGATCGCGTCAAAGCTGCTTGATCTGGGGGCCAACGTCGAGGCGCGCACCTCGCAGGGCTATACGCCGCTGCAGTGCGCAGCGCGGGCGGGCAACCGAGCGATGTTCCTCTTCTTGCTAGACCGCGGAGCGAACATGAACGTGCAAACACCGAAGGGGGAGACGATCTTGCACATCGCGCCTCCCATCAACGAGGAATGCCTAGACATTCTCAAGCTGACCCTAGAGTTCGGCCGTGACGTCTGCACCGTGTCCAGTCAAGGCTGGATGCCCGTCCACCAGGCTGTGCATGTCGCTACGGGAGTGCCGGACTTCGCCTTTCCCAAGGCTGCCGAATATCTCCGTCTCCTCCTTGCTCATGGTGCCGACGTCAACGCCCGGGCCGCCTCAGCTGGTATCGAGACCCCACTTCACCTCGCCGCTATGGCCATCATTCCCCGCCCCGCCCTCATTCACCTTCTCCTCGACCTGGGCGCCGACATCAACGCCATGACTGCCGACGGCAAGACCGCCCTTCATCTTGCCGCCGAGCGCGGCCGCGAGTCTCTTTTCCGCATCCTCATCGACGCCGGCGCTGATCTTGCCCTCGAAGCCCCTGAAATCACTAAGCACGCCAATGACTCCAACGGCAGCAACGGCAGCAACGGCAGCAATGGTTCCAGTACTAATACCGCCACTACCACTGGCAGCGGTGAAGGAGGAGGAGGCGGCGGTGGTGGTGGTGGCGGCGGCACAACAGCTCTAGACCTAGCGCGCAAGAACCCTTTCGGTGCCTTCTGGTTCGATGACGACGGCAAGCTCCGTCCCAAGAAGTTAACCCTCGGGGATGAAGCCGAGCGCTGCGACAGTGTAGGTACCATCATTGAGGACATGAACCCCGATTGTTCTGAGGATGATACGGGTGAATCAACCCTGGTGGGTAGCGAGCATCCCTACGTGCTGGTATGATCGAATGCCCTAGTGCTTCCTACTCTGGCTCCCAATGTCCCCAAGTCAATGTATATGAAGCGCTTCTATTCTCTCTCCCCCCTTTCTTATTTGCGTTATATGTTGTCCCTCTCTTTTTTCCTGATTTGTGATACCCGAAACCCCGCTATGCCCCACCCCTTCTCCCACGTCTACCTATTTCATTTCTCTTTTTTTCCGTATGTATTTGATTTTCCAATCTGGCTTGGAGGGTTTTCAGTTTTCGCAAGGATGGCAATGTGAACTTGGCGCAGGATACCGGATTTTGTATGGAGTAATGAATGGCATGAATGAATGAATTGAGTCGATTGAGTAATTCCTGGCTCTTAGTAAATGAAGCCAGTTTTTGCCTAACTCTTTATCCTACAAGTTACATAGCTAGGCCATCGTGGATCATTAGGTGTCAAGTCAACAATGGGGATTGTGGACGACATCGATTGATTGCGAGCTATGATTCCTTTTCGTCCAGCATTTGAGAGACTTGAGTATACTAGAAATCATATATATATATAGCGTGTGGTGATCTTGCCATCACCTTAGAGGTAAAAGTGTACGGGGTGCTTAAAAGCAGTGGGACTTGATCATTTCTTGAGAGCCTTCTTTATTCACCAGCTCTTACCAAAGTTTTTCGAATTGAAACATTCACATCATATCTTGTTGGGGAAAGCAGGATGTTATGCATGTTTTAACTTTTCCTTAGTCAGCATATGCACGAGCACTTCATCGGATCACCTGACTACGGGCTGGCGATGATGGATTACACCAATCATTGAATGGGATGGGACTTCCTCTCCCCAGCTTAAAACCACAACCATCAGCCATTATCTATTCTGCTACAGAGCAGTGCATGCGACCGCATCTAGATCAAACCAAGATGGCGCCCGACAGAAGAGAAGAGGCGCATTCGTCTACTTCACCCGACACCACAGTGGCTCCAGACCCGCCGCCCATCCATCCTTCATTCATCCAGGTCGCCAAGCCGTACATCTTCGAGCAGACCATCCAGCAATGTATTGCCGCCATGGGAGTCAACCCCCTGCGCGAGGAGTCCCTCCGTCTACAGGGAGTAACATGGATTGACAGCGTACGACGCAATTTGTTCCTGTATGTCTATATCTCGATCAATCTCAATACAGAAAATCAAGCAAGTTAACATGTCACGCATAGCCCAATCCGCACCTTCAACACGGCGGTGGTGTACTACCACAAGTTCCGACTCGTTCATCCAGATAATGAGTACAATTACACAGTAAGTCCTCAATTCTTATGTCCCAGCATTATTGCAGTACTAACGAGTCTCCCCAGGATGCCGCTACAGCCGCTCTCTTCACGGCCTGCAAGGTCGAAGACACGCTCAAGCGATCCCGTGAGATCGTCTGTGCAGCGTATAACCTCAAGCTGCCACCCCATGAGCACGTGGCTCCCGACAACCAGGTAGCATGCCCCTCTGTCTTGCCAAGTCCATATCCTTCTCAACCCCTCGCCACTCCTACTTTACTACACAAGTCATGGATTCCAGACTAACCAACTCAAAAAAGGCCTTCGACATCCCCGCCCGGGGCATAATCGGCCTCGAGCGCCTGATGCTCGAATCCTCCGGCTTCGACTTCCGCACGCGCCACCCGCAGAAGACGCTCGTCAAGCTGGCGCGCAAGTACGGGCTGACCTCGCAGTCGGAGGTCTCGACCGTCGCCTACCGCATCGCGCAGGATCTGTATCGGACCTACGCGCCCATCAAGCAGACCACCTCGACCATGGCGTTCAGCGCCCTGGAGCTGGCGGGCCGGCTGCTGGACCAGCGCATCCCCGAAGTCGAACAGGGGGTGGACTACGAGGATTGGCAGACGAGTCGGGAAGAGGTTATGGGTTCGTGATTCTTCTTCCTCCCTC